AGAGCAAGTAAGTAAGAGGAGCTTGGGTTAAAGTGTTTATGCTTGAATTATGATGTGAATATTGATATTGTGTATGATTAAATTTACAGTATTGTGTTTCTACATTGAGCATTAACTCCAGCCTCACTCTAATGTCTTCAAGTTGCGGTGGCAGTGGTAGACTCTGGGGAGGTTTGAGGACAGAGCGAGCCCTGGACCAGACACAGGCTGCATTTCCGATGGTTGAACTGCAAGGGGAGCAAAATAAACATAGTTGTTGCTCTTCCAACAGAGACAGGAAAAAAAGAAAAAAAAATACAATGAATTAGAAAGAAGTCTGTCCCAATATCCCCCTCGAGGCACAGAGAAGCCAAGTTTTCAACCATGCAGTGCTTGATGTCAGGGAGGGCAGAGAGGTTGTAGAGTACAGAGACGATAGAGGAGAGGAGAGTTCCTGCAGCTGCACAACAAACACCAGAAAACCTCCAAACCATTAGCAAGCTCCCCTCCACAAAAGATTTATCCTGCTTTCTCAGTATTGTACTCACTCAAACTTTTTTTCATACCTCTCTCCATTATTGGAGTTGGATAGCTGCTTGCACATTTTGGAAACTGACTCCTCCGACCTCACCCTCTCCCTGTTAATAATCTATCCCCCTGCCATGGTCCCTATGAAGTCTCCATCTTCTTTCCAAATAAACGTTTCACCACCTTCACACTTGAGGGAGGCGAAACTGTTTTAGCAATAACAGTTTATCTGACAAGTCAGTAATTCACGTGTGTTATTAGGAAAAGTGGCGCACCTTCGGATGAGCTTACAGATGCGTCATCGTGGCTTCAGTAGGTGTTGGCACTGGCTGATAGCATATGCCAGTTGGATAGGATTTATTGCTGCAGCAACTGGAGACTGAGGATCTCTGTTTCTTCTCTGTGTCTTCCTGTTTGTGTTTCTTTCTCTCTCCTCTTGGTCTTCAGGTGAACTCTAGATTGTATCTTTCTTATTTAACTACCCTCGGCTGGGTGAGGAATTCATGAAATAAAGAACAATATTAGTACAAATTAGAGGAGGCTAATTTTTCTGAGGAAAATTAAGTATGCTTGCTGCTCAAGTACGGAAACAGTTACAGCTGCAGTTGAAATACAGATACTGTTATAAGCACACATAGCAGTAAACATGAATGTGGTGGGAGACGGTGACGTTTAAGTTTAAGTGAAAGCCCTGAATGAAGTTGAAGCGTCAGTACTTGATTCAAATCTAAGTGACAGTTTAAATAAAGCTGTTTAAAGCTGTTGAAAGTTCAGTTGAAGTTCAAGCACTGAAAGGAGATGAAATGTATGTCGAATTGTGGGCAATAAATTGAGTTGGAAGTGGAGGACCTGGAAGGAGTTGATAGATGATGTCAGTTTAAGAGTCAGCTGCAGCATAATCACTGCAAACGGTTGAAATAAATTGTGTATGAACAGTGGAAATTGCGTGAGTTAAAAGAGCTTAAGGTTTTTTGTTGAAGCCTAAAGAGGTTCGAAGAGTCGTCTATGTGTAAGAAGTTTAAATTTCAGCTGTAGACAACGAAATGGATATGGTCAAAATCTCAGGTGACATGTAAGTGGTAAAAGCAGTTGAAATGCCATTTGAAAAGAACAAGATTTAAGCATTTGAAATACCTGTCGTATCAATAAATCCTCATACAATGGTTCATATGATATGAAGTCTCATGTCTTAACCTTCAAGTGTCAGTCAAGTCCCAAGTTACAGTGAAGAGAATCAAGCAAGTCAAGTCAAGGCATAAGAAATTCAAGTTAGCTTAAAGACACATTCTCGCACCTTTCTTTATGGATTTGTGGTGACAGATGAAGTTCGATGTTGTAGTGGTCCTGTCTGTGATTTTTGAGATGCAGACCTTACTTACCTTCATGGACAACATCATTTTTGAATCCAAATTTTGTCGTTTTTTGACTAGCCTCCTCCCTGATAGCTGCCTTGAGCACTGGCCTCTTCCCATCTACTGCATCCTAGTAAAGTGTGATAGTTTGCATGCATTGCACTAGAAATCACCCAGTCATGTTTCATGACTTATCAATATCTTGACCACTGCAAATAGTCAAGTCAAGTCTTTGAATCATGAATATCAAGTCAAAGTCAAGTCTTATATCAGTTTTAATCAACAAAAAACAGTCGAACAATTGCTTGTTGACCACAAAGGTCATTAGTCGGCAAGATTTCATTGATTGCTTACTCACAAAATAAAAAAAAACAACAACAACAACCGTGAAACTCTATTAGGAGTTGTGCCTTGTCAAAATAAATCAAAACTTATATGACTGGACCATGTGGGAATTTAATGTGAAAGGACAGACACAGGAAGAGGCCACGCATGTTAGTTTCCAGGGCTGGTACCTGCGGTTCTTCCACAGGCTAGTTAATAACATGTCGGGTGTGTGGGATCATTTTGAGAAGGTGAAGGACGAACCCAAGGTGATATGTAAACTCATCTTCATTGGTCGACTACAAACATGACGTATCATCTGAAACATGGAAGTAGCTACATGCCCGTTAGCCCACAGCGTCATTAACAGGCGGCTCGCTCAGTGTGTGACGTGCACTTGTAGATAAAATATAGGCCTATATTAATGAAGGTTCATTAGTACGGTTTTGTATTTCTCTGTAATGTAGCACAGTGTTAACAATGTTACTGATACTATTCTTTCTCACACCTTCAACTCAAACCATTGTGTTGCCCCGCCCAAAATATATAGTTTAATAATTACATTAATATTGTAAACATGCAGGCAACTAGTCGACTAATGGCCCTAAATGACGACTATTGGTTGACTAGGGAAATTTGTCGTCGGGGGTAGCCCTAACTTGAACTTNGTAAACATGCAGGCAACTAGTCGACTAATGGCCCTAAATGACGACTATTGGTTGACTAGGGAAATTTGTCGTCGGGGGTAGCCCTAACTTGAACTTGAATTTATGTGACTTGAGTCGCCCACGTCTGCAAGTTAACACCCCTACCAGACAAGTTAGGTTTAGGAAAAGAATCATGGTTGGGCGTTGCCAAAGTAATGTCACCTCACATGCTTATGTAACTTAAAATAACTCACCGTTAACTTTTGGTTTCAACACGACACAAACCCTGGTCTCCTAGGGTTAAAGTCCTGTGTTTATTTGACCCATCCACATATTTTTTTTCTTAGGATGATGGAGGCATGACTTGCCCTACTCAGATTGGCAAGTACTTCATTAGCTTAGTTGGTTGAGTTCAAGCAAGTGGAGTGAGATTGGTTAGAGTGTGAATGTCAGGGTGAGCCAATCAGAGGCAGAGTAAGGCACAGCGGGGCGGGTCATGACGCTCCTCCTTTGCTCCCATCATATGATCGATAACAGCCTTTGGCACATACAGTACATCACGTGATCACAGTCTCCTGGCTCATGATGACATGGGTAATATTCGAATTATAGTGCATTACTTTTTGTAGGTATAAATACAAACAGTAAACAACAGCAGCCTGAAGCAGCTGCCATGTCAGTTGATGTAAAGCATTGAAAACAGTTGCTGTAAGCTAAGAGTAGTAAGAGTAGAGAGTAAAAAAATGCAGGTGACGTGTAACATCTGAAAGCAGTTGAAGTGTCAGCTGAGGAATAAAAATAAGTTCAAGTGTCATTAACATCATGGTGGGTAGGTCAGCGAAAGTGTAAGTGATGAAAGCTGTTGACATTTCATTTGAAATTGTGATTTAATGGGACAGTTGAATCTTTACACTCCATTTGCAGGTGTTTTCTGTTCTTATCCCTCGACCATCAGGGGCTGCTTTTTATCCCAACCCAAATCCATATCCTTAACCTTTGCTCTGCCTCCGCTACTGATGGATAAGCCAGGTAAATGTCAGCTGCAGGTTGTCTAACTCATCATAGCATCTTGCTCCTCATCCCAATGATGTGCCTTTTAAACATCCACCAATCATCTGTTTGGCTGCGGGTCAGGCATTTGCTCAGACAGAGGGATTTTTCCCATGCATACTAATGTGTTCCTCGAAAACTCTCTGATGGTTGATTCCAGGGAGTGTGCTGGTCTTTTAGGGCTGTCTGCACAGATGTAGTTTCTTAATAAAGTGCAGGAAGCAGTTTGAAAACCTCACGCTATGCAGAGTTCTGCATGAAAATGTATAGCGTTGTCTTCTAACCTGCCAAAGTGCGTTGCAGTGCAGCAAACGTCTGTAAAGGTGTTTTCTGCAGCACAGTTTGCACTTGAAGGAACGCAGATGTTGGTAGTCTCATTTGCTAATTTGTTGCTTGATGATCTGTTGATCAAATGCATATATCTTTGATGCAGGCTGGCCCAGAACCACATCCTGAAATCCCAGCTGGAGAAAAGAGCAAAGACTGCAGCATCTGCCCAACACATCAGAACATTTATGGCTCTCCCTCTATGTTTGTCCTTACCTCTTACCAGCTCTCTACTTTCTCCATCGTCCTCTGCATAACATTTTAAAGCTGGAGAGCAAGAAAATGTCAACTTCTTTAAGCCTGTCTGTCTTTTTCCGTGCCCACATTTTGATTTAGTCTCTATGCATGGTAGTTACACACATTCTCCATCCTTCCTCTTCGAGCATTCCACCCTGCTGCCTGTCTCTCCCTCTGAGGTCAATGGTTTCATTGGACAAACTCAAACAAGAGGGTCCCCTGAAACCCTATCAGCTGTCTGTTCATTTGTGTAGACATGGACGGACGGGGCCAAAGTCAACCTTCTCTTATTAGGATTCAGATGTAGTCCCAGCGTGTTTTCTCTTCTCCCTCTCCGCCTTTGATACGCAGGATGTGGGACTTTGCAATGGCACCGTTTTAATTGAAAGCGAAAGCTGAGAATCAAAGCGCCGCGTTGGTACTGTGGGCAGAACCTCTAATCAGTATCAGACATGAGGAAGGGCTCAGACAAACGCAGCCAGACAATGGACAATGATACCGTTTAAGCCAGGGGCAAGGCACGGGTTGAACTGTGCAAAAAAAAAAAAAAGACACATTCAAAATAGAGCATTTTATTACAAATACAAAAAAAAGCGCAGTTCATTGCATAAATAGCTTGTTGTGAATGTTGATTTAAATACAGTCAGTGCGGAAAATGTTCCTATTCTGTAATGCATTATTTCCCACTAAGGTCTGCGTCAACGGCAACATTTTTTTCATGTCTCCATTACACTGCTGAACTGCCCCAATTTGTAGGGAAATTCTGACACACTTGCCAAAGTCAAAAGTGTTGCCAATATTATGCTAGTGCTTAGTTCATAGAAATGTACCAAGTTTCTTGAAAGTAAATTTCCTTCAGCATCATAAAAGTTGACATGCAAATGAACCATATTCAGTACTTTTTAATCGTTCAGATAAATTTACAGTCCTTTTACAAAAACAATAAAAAAAATGAATATCAATTAAATATTTTTTTCCCATATAAAAATGAATAACTTACAGTATACTTGTTTTAAGGATAGTCAAGGTATAATGATTATCTACATGTACAAATAATAACAATTTCCTGGTATTTTTGGAAATTTAGAACAAAATTAAGGTGCACTTGAGTGCCTAACTCCGAAAACTACATCAGTGATCATAACAAAATATAAACAATGGATTTCTCCAATATATCAATATATTGGTGTGTAATATACAAATGTGATTATAAAACAGATGTGTGGGTCAGATGTGCTCTGTTCTGCATAAATAACATGTGAAAGCATGAATTCTGTAATGAAACAAAACCTTATCAGTGCAGGTAAAAACTGCAGATGCACTGTGTGAATGTTGAAACAAGCAGGGCTATTGACAACAGAGGTGTCCAGTGGTTCCCAACTGGTGGTTTGGGGTCCAAAAGTGGGTCACAGGTCCATTCTGAATGGACTAATACACGTTTTATTTTTAGGTACAGTGAATTTCCGGCACAGAGCTTTTATTTTGAAGTGCCGTTTCCTGTTGTAGAGTGAGTGACTTATGGACAGCTACTTGACAGAGCCAGCAAACTAGCTTAACAACATGGCCAAATGCAAGTATGACGCTGAATATATGAAACTGTGAGGACCTTGAACTAATCACTAAGAACGAATCTGGACCCCCTGGCTGGAACACTTGGGAACCACTGATCTAAGCCACCATCAGGCCTTCAAAAAAAGACCTTACAGTAAGAGTACTTTTGTCACAAATGGAAATTGCAATAGACTTTGAGTCTGAGGTGTGTTGTACCTACAGCAGCTACATCACCAAGCTGACACCGCCTGTGTAGGTTTTACCCTCTGAGGTCAAGAGCTTTGATCTTTATATCACAACATTCCTGTGAAGGCAGAGCACACAACATGAAGGTGTGATGCCTGTAGCACCAAAGTGAGCAGGTATGAGCAGCCATGATCTTGTTGTGTCCTTAATTACCACATTGTCAGTGGTAACGAGTGAAACATGCAGCACCACATACAGTATCGACTGTGTTTAAGGACCCATCCTACACATAAATTATATTTCATCAATTCAAATGTAACAAATTAATTTACAGTTTATTTACAAGTCATCAAAAATCTTCTGCTGCCTTCAAATGTGTGTTTGTGTCTTTAAATAAGCTCATATATACAAAATAGTGTGGTCCACGACTGTTGTGCAAATCCTTACGGGATTAAAATAGTGTCTCTGTGGTACTGTCGGTTGTCAGCTTATGTCGAGAGGAAACCTGTGTTTATTTGAACCAGTGCAGGTAGTTTGTCTTGAGAGCGGGGAAGCACATGTTGTTGCTGCAGGAGCCCCCGTAGCTGGGAGGGCAGGCGGAGCAGGGCACGCCTACTTTGTAGGGAGCCTCTCCGATCCAGTTGCCCCTGAAAGACAGGAATATACAGACAGTGTCAGTGGAGTCAGGGATGACTGGAGAAGTTCATTCCTTTTTTTTCATAAGATTTGAACTTAAATCAGTAAATGATTTCTGTCTGAAAACACCTAAAATGGAGGGTAAAAGATGATGGATGAATAAATATGGATTGTCAATATACTTATCATAAAGAACAAACCAGGGAAACTGTTTATTATCAGTTTCAAACATAAACTGTATAATTAAGATGGACAACGTGACAGCTTATTTAAACTTGGGTGGCTGTCTCGAGCACCCACCCACGGCGTAATTAACCATGGTTACCCGACTCTGGGTCTAGAGTTGGACTTGGAGGGTTAGGGTGTTCTGCCTGATCTCCAGACCCTACGTTCGGGGAATGTACGCCGGACCTGATGTCTTAGTTGGCTAGAACCAAGAGGGCTGGCGTGCATATGGGTGTGTCAAGCGTGTGGTAAAGTTCTGGCTGCCTCTTGTGTCTCGCACTTCAGCAAGACCTGCTACCTGTCACAGGGTGGTCCCCTCGCAGTGGTTAAGGTGTTCACGCAATATGTGGGTCACAGGTGAGGGCACTCTACAAATTATGGTGAAGCAGGCACTTCAGCCATCCTCGGAGCTTGGGACTTGGTGTCGAGTGCAGATAAGCACAAAATAAGACAATGGGGTAATGACTCTCTTAAATTAGCCAAAACACCTCTATCGCCCCCTGCTGGCTGGCTGCAGTTTTGCTCATAAACCTCGCCCCCTCCATATTAGCGAATAGGGCATGGGCTAAACTAAAAAAAATCAAAGTACATGTCAAATAAATTTGACCAAAGGTGGTTTCTATTATTTTAGGTAGTTCTTTTTATGCTGTGCTCAGGTTATGCTCTGTTTTAATTAGTTATTTGATGCTATAAAAAAGGGGTTAAACGTCATGTATGCCAATTGGTGTGCTCTTGATCAGTGGTGCTGCTTACAGTTGGTTGGATCGGGAACTCTATACTATCGAGATCACTACTGCCTAGCTTGTGATGTCACCAGCACAAGATGGCAGCAGCCATATCCAGAAGAGATATGGCTGCTGCCATATACAATATATTGTTTCAAAGAGGCAAATAATGATGTTCAAAACAATCTAATCTTAATGTCCATTTAGTGGCTATTCTGGAGTTCTCACTCATATGACATGATATTCATCTAAAAATTAAGTTTACCCAAAAGCCTGTACAGCGCTCTGAAAAAAATGGAAAATTGAACATCTATAATTTCATGACAAACTGGGCTGCACATCTATCTGGTGAGGAAGATCATGTGATATGACTGAAAGCTCCAGAAATGAACAAACTTTCATGATGATGACATAAAAATCTGCACTTCATGAGCAAATAAGAAAGAAGTATGTGTATCAGTGACACCTTGTGTAAATGGAAAACAGCTAAATGCAATCTTGACACCATCCAGATTCAAGATGCCAGCTGATACTAAAGCAGCCTCCAGTTTTTGACACACAGTGACCTCCGCAGAGCAGGAAGCCTGATCCAAGACTCACAGAAGAGAAGCCATGTTTAAAATACCAAGCAGCTAAAATAGGTCATCAGTGTCCTGAGCGTGTTACTCTTACATATGTCCCAAACCAGTGGGATTAAAGAACCTGGGTCACAAGTCAGTCACAAGTCCAAACGGGCTTTGATTCTTGGAATTTGTTTGAGAATTTCTCTTCTGTGTCGTGGCTTTGGTAATGTGGTACCGCTTCACAGGCTTGTATCGAGGTTACTTGAATCTCCCCAACAACATGGGTGGCATTTCACAACTCAGCACAGAACAGAGCCGTCTGTGTCGGGATTAAGCCTGTCGTCACCCTATTGTCATTAGGTTAACAGGTTCGTTGGCATTACAGTACAGTATACTTACTTGGGTGAGTAGTTGCAAACTAAATACGTTGCCCGTTTCCACACTGAGCCCCATACGTTCATGTTATGGCACGTGTGAACAGCACAGCCCACTTTGTTGGATGTTGCCCACACCATCTATAAAATAAGACAGATCAGTAGCCCATTAATGCCACTGTTACACCAATTCATATTATGTTATACTGGTTTTATCAGTGTACCTGTGTGTAGTGGGTGCACATGGGTCCATAGCATCTGAGAGGGCATCGAGGGTTGCAGTCACGAGGGTATGGAAAGGAGTAGTCTTTGACCTCATCATACCATGGCTTCACCAGCTGGAGAATGGATCGATAGCTGCAAACAGAAAACAGACGTGCTCAGTAAACTACACTGTACATGTCATTATTCAGAACACAACAAACTTGAAGACACAGACTTGGATCTGTGATTCTTGCTTCAGAGCAATTTTTGGTGTTTCATTACATGCAGGTCAGGTAGTGGGAAGATCTAAAATGTTGTCACATTGTGGACCGGGCCATCACCGACTGCAAGTTACCATGAATGGTTGTAATTGTTGTTGGTGGTGGTGTTTAGTACATCTACTACATATTTCAAACCACTGTGACCACAGTAACAATGAAGCGACCTGAGGTTCTGAAACACAATATGCACTGTCTGCAATATCAAAACCACATTCACAGATTGGCCAAAGTCAAAAAGGACATGTTGAAGAAGTGCTAGAGCTTCAGTTTGAAGCTGAACGGCAGCATTTTTAACGCTTAACAATGACTGAATTCTCACAATTGTTTTCACAACTACCAGGCTGATTTGTAAGGTATTCAAACATGTTCTTTGGTGTAGGGCCGATTATCATTTAAAGATTATGATACTAGTACCCTTGAATTGATACACACGGTAGAGTATTTCATTCGATACTCCTATGGAGTGGCGTGTAGTATAGCCATACTTTCAAATGTTTTAGTGCCATCTTGGCATGCTGAACTGCCAACTCTACTGGGCTTGACATCACCACAGACCATATGGACTGTAGCTACTGCTGCAGAAGTATGACCTCTGTGCCGGGGAGAGTTGAGAGAGTCCGTGTGGCTGTGCACACACAATGACAGGGCTAACTGTTAGCATCACATAGCTAATGTCGCGTAACGTTTTTTAAGGGGTTTAATAACAGAGTTGAGCCATGCTGGTGTCAGTGTGATTTTGTTGGGGCCATTTAATGGCTCGGTATTGGATATTAGCCACTGCTCCTCAGTTAGCTCGTGCTAACTAGGCACATTGAACTTGCCTGGAGATGGCAGCAACAGAAAGTTTGCTGATCCAGCGGGGAGCCGGCATGGTCTAGGATCAGACCCCCGGCACAAAAACGACTGAATGCAGGTATTGTTTGACACTACTTGGCACTGGGTTATTTTGGTCAATACCTTTAACGTATCGAGTAACAATACCCAGCCCTACTGCAATACAATGAAGCGTAGAGTTCAATCCATTTCTGTGTTAAGAGGTACATTGGTCTGACAAATCCAAATGGCTCCATGCCGCCATGACCCTGATTGTAAATAAATAGAAACGAAGCGTGTTTATAATGCTTTCTGCACTTGTCTAATTCAGAGTTTAAAGGCAAATTGAATGATTTGGTTTCATCATGGCCCAGGTCCTCTGAAAAATCAGATAATAATAATTATCAAAGATCTGAACCCCGGCACATGATCTCCCATTAAGGGAAACGTTTATCAAGTTTAATTATTAACATTATTTCTTACTAAAAAAAGACTTAAGTATAATTTTTGGATTGTTTTCTGCAAGTCAACAGAATGGTAATGCTACTTAGATCTATTATGTTTTTGGGAAATAACTTTACTGTAGAACTCTCTCTGCGAGTCACAAGAAACAGTCAGAATAAGCTGTATTCCCTTGAGTCTCATGTTGCTCCTCAGTAAAATCTAAAAGTTGTAGGAAGACGTGAAGGTGCCCTGTGTTTCCAAACGGAAAGTCAAGACCCACTAAAGGGATGCGCCTTTGTCCTCAGGGGTCATGGCTGCAAACACAACTTTTGTTTATCTGAAGGGTCACAGGAGCATTCCTCAAGCAGTCACTGGGTCACAGTGCAAAAAGCTTTAGGAGAAAAGAAGAAGGGGGCAGCGAGGCAACGACCATGACTGCTGAGAGACAGAGAGAGAGCGAGAGTAATCCCCGAGAGGAGCAGCAGATGTCAGGGAGGGGGAGGGGAGTCAAAGGTCACTCACCGTCCTGTCCTGACGGAGAGGTTCTGACCCAGGAACCTGAGGAGGTGAGGTGGCCCGTGCTCCCACAGGCAGGCATGAGCCCAGTCCTCGGCCGTCTTAGCCAGGGTGTCGTCCCACACCTAAACACACAGGGACACAGGTGGGAACTTGGAAACCCATTACATAACTGACGGAAAATATCAACACTAGATCTTCATTCAGCAGTGAGATGTGAGATAAGAGTCGGCGCTTGGGTTCATAGCACTCTTACAGGTGTTGCCATGGCGAGACGCAGAAGTCATCCATCAAATCAGTTACGTAAGCGGAGAAAGTTTGTTGCCCAGTGTCTAATGTAACTCTTTCACTGAATAGACAGGGACTTGGACAGCTTGAAGTTAAGAATACCAGATATCTATCCACACTTGTCAACAGCCACACTCCTGTGCGGTGTCACTGGGAATGGATTGTGTCTGGAGCAATGAGGAGAGACTTTCTCCGATTACATCATTCTACAGTAGTTTTGTCAATAGACGCCCTCATTGCACCTTTACCAGTGCAACTACGGAGGATGGAGATTTTAAAAATGGAAATGTGTCAGCTCAGTTGCTATTTTTGGCCCAGAGAGCTGCTGGAATACCCTTTCAAAATAAAATGAGCCTTATACTGCTTCACACCATTGTATTTATAGCTGAAAAAATAACATGTAGATGAAATTAAAAGTCTGATTCAAAATTTTTCCCACTTTGCCATGAAGTGACCACTGCTGCTCTCTCCAAATAACACTGCTCGTAGGCTAATGGCACCATACATGACCCCTGTTCCCTCAGAAGTGACTACTTTGGTGGTCTCCTGCAGTGCAATCTGCTCAACAGCTGAAGCTGCCAACAAACTTCAAGACATCTGTCACTTTACTTGCTCACAAAACCACAGCTATTAAATCAGATTCTCCATCACTTCCTATGACAAATTATTTTACTTGTTGCATGCAGTTTGGCCACTAGCAGAACATGCATATGATCATAAAACATTAAGGAGGCATACAGTACATGGCTCCAGGATTATTACGCAAATAGATAAAAATGAATCAAATATGAATGAAAGGCTTCACTTACCATGTATTCCATATTGGACGCCGGTGGAAACACCTTCCCTCGTACTTTGTTATGGTAGTCAAGAATGGCCAGCATGTCGTTCTGACTAATATAACGCTTCCTCCTGGTTTTAGAAGTAGCCGTGGTGTCTGTTCCATAGCTGTGCGCTGCGCCAAGATTGGTGAAATTGGCGGCTGGCAAGGAGACAGCAGGAATAGTCGTGGCCAATGCACTTGCTCCGCAAGATATGCACAGAAGTATCAAGTCTACGGCAAATAATTGACTTTTCATGTTTGCTTTTTTAGGTAACTGCAGACGAAATATCCCGCGTCTTGGAGTGATCTGAAAAGAAAGAAGACTAAATTAAAGTGCTGTCTTGGTGCGCGCAAACGAGGCGCATTACAGTTCACACATGTATAAACCAAGCGTCAAACGTCCAATACGGGACAGAAATACTGCTGACATTCCTCCACACAGTCTTTGGTCTTACCTTTTCTTGCGCAGCGGTGCCTTGTGCCTGCGTTGCCAAGGCTGTGTCACCTCCAAAGCCTCAGTAATGGATTGGAGAGAGAGGGAGGGCTGCAAGTGAGCAGTTTTTGCGCTTTGCAAACTTTGTGAGTGCTTCAGGAGAAGTCCGTCTTTGGGGGTTTATATAGGCTATGGCAGTGGACGATGCAGGAAGTGCGCCTGCCTCGGAGGTAGACGCGCAGCCCCTCCTTGTCACCTGAAACACAGTTTGGTTTTCCCGAACTCGTTCCTGGCAGATGTTGGTCAGTTTCATCATGACATCTGCGTAACATTTGCGCAGCTGCAGGATGTGGGAGAGCATTTAATTAATGAAGTACATGAAGGTTGATAGAGCATATTAAATGACTACTAATGACTTCGTTTGGGTTCTTAAAAGCAGGTCTTTATCATGGATGTTGTTGGTGTGAAGTATGTTGTTAATATGCTTATAATTTATGTTAATATTTTAATTCTTATCTTGCAATATGAACCCTCAATCCATGGGCGCAGATTTCAAGGGGGACGCAGGGGACACGTCCCCCTCAATATGTAGAAGTAAGTAGCAAAGGACTTTTATTTTGGCGAAGTTAAATACATTTCCATCATCAACTGATGCAGAAAATGCACAAATACATGCATAAAAAAAAGTGTTTGAGCTCAAAATTTCCTGATGGAAGACCCCAACCCCAGTTTCACATGGGTCACCCCCAGTGTTGAAATGAAACCTACACCCATGCCTTTCACTAGCCCACAATATTCTCACAATATTGACTGTATTAACTTGATTGATTGAAGCTCCTAACACTCACTTCCCAAAGCTCCCCTGGTCACTGGTCAGGACATCCACATAAACTCATGGGTGGGAGGAAGCCAGCAGTTTTATGAGTCAAATCAGTGTGAAAGCCGAGTCCATGTGCCCTATCAGTCTTCTTTGTCGTATTCATTATACTATAAAGATTACACTTGTTCAGTGCGTAGCTCCAGCTGTGTGGTTTGCCAGTGCAGATGCAGAGCCAAGAGGGAAAAAAACCCCTCTGCAGGTCATCATTTTCATTGGCAGCTGGTGAACAAATTAAAGAAACGTGACGCAGGAACAATTTTCCTCCCCCCCTTTTTTCTTCTGCTTCTCTCTTGCTCTTTCCCTCCTCCTCTCTTGTTGCCGACAACTGGTGCTTTCCCAAAAAAACCTTCTTGGAAGTGATGGACTTCTCAGGTGCTGGAATTGGTGAAAGGGATATATCACTCAAGAGCGGTGCATGGCGAAGATTTTCTCCTCCGTTTCACTCCATCCATACATTTGAGCTCCTACTCTCCGCTGCTGCTCTTCCTCAACAGACTGACAGTTCCACTGGGATGGAAAGTTGTCAGAGTTAGATAAATCATGACAGATTAGCTGAATATTTTGACTTCCTATACCTGATCCAGGGCTGTGCTGAATGCCAGGACACTAAGCAGAAGGTCCTGACTGAATTTTAAGGACAAACGTCAAATATTTAAAGGTATTGCACCTGTGAGGGTTGGAGATGTGATGTTGACCTTATTTACTCTTAGCTAAAATAACACAGGAGACACCTTTGTGGGCAGCCAGAGAGGAAAAGCTGGTGCACAATGAGAAAGCATAAGTCTTCAGCATTAATTCCAAACTCAAATAGACCATCAGCTACCTTTGAGTGAACTCTGAATACTTGCAGTGTAAGATAAGAGTTGAACGGAGCTACTACGGGGCATCTTTTATAAACAAAAAAGTGCTTTTTCAAATAATATTTTTAATCTATTTCCACAGAACTAGACTCAAGCAACAGATTTATTTAACAATTTAAGTATATTTTGAGATGTGATGTGATTTTGCTGTCTTTTTTTCCTGTTATGACTATGCAGCATCACATCTGCTCAGTATTTTGACTCATCCTCTCATCTGGTATCAATAGTCAGGCCACTCTCCAGCCAGCACGGCCCGCCGGCCAAAGATTCAGATCGACATGGCGCTGAGATCCTATCCCCGTGCTTTATAGCCATATTATTGTCCGTATTATCAGATTAGCTTAACATACACCTGTTTCACAGCATTTCACACTATCTTTATGTTTATTTGGCCTGAGGCTTCTGATCTGAGACTTAACAATGGAGTCAGAACTTTAGTTTCATTGTGGAAAATCAGGATTTAATAGAATACTGTACTTCCACTGTATGTGTCTCTCTCCCTCGCTCCTTCGCTCCTTCGCTCCTTCGCTCCCTCGCTCCCTCTCCCCGACACAAACACACACACACACACAGTTTCTTCACGTGCAGTCTCCTCAAGGCCCCAGATGATATTCCCTCAGTCTCAGAGTGCTGGTACTTGTTTGCACAGTGAACCCAGTGACTTCGAAGAGGTCGAAGCATTATTATTATATTATCAGAGTAATTAGGGCATTATTTGGGGCACATGCTGCTGTGAGTGGCCTTGGGTCTGTTTTGGAAAGGCATTCTTTTTCAGACAGAGCATTTATTTACCTACAATATATTGTTCCAAGTTTCCCCCGTGCGTTCCCCCCTCTCCGGAGGCCTCTCGAAGCCCAGTGTTGATGCCAGTACAGCAGAGAGAATGAGGTGCAGTGGTGAGCAAGAGGGAAAGCAGGAAAGAGGAATAGCATATGGACAATAGACAGACTCAACAAGTGTTGCAGTGATTATGATTCTAGATGCATCCAATCAAGGCAGAGGAATTCAAAACTATAAGATTCTGAGTAAATAGAATTTCCATGGTTTTGGCTTGTATGGAGCATCATGTGCATTTGTGCAGTAAATCCAAGACAAAAACAACCAATCATCTGTTTTTCATGCAAAGCAGATAAGTGTTATTGGACAGTTTTTTGACCCAGGTCTGGAGGATAGCGTACTGACCTGGACTATTCAGTAAGAAACAAAATCTCCTCAGGATGGCTCTTCGCTCTGTCCACTATTCCAGCAATCAAAGCACATGCTGTAGACTCCAGCTCAGCTGTGCACTCCACCCAAAGGCTATTGTTACTGCCCTGGCAGAATCCACGGCGCATGGGAAAGTCACTAAGAGATCAGCAGCATGTGAATGGATGGATGAAAAAAAATAAAGGCGTCTAATGTGAGATGAAAGACCAAATTTAAGTTGTTCACAAGCAGATTAAGTTGTTCACAGGGTGGTCATAGTGGTTTGTATGTTTGGATTTGCATTTATTCTGTGTCATTATAAATTTGTTAAAGGGAAAAGCTCAACTTTTCAGCTAATTGCTTTGTTGCTAAGAGGTAGATGAGACGATTAACACCACTCTTGTCTTTTTGAAAAATATGTAACTCAGCTCTGCTTCATAGACTGTAAACATAATGGACGTAGCCACCGTGATGTCACCCATTGGTTTGTGGACGACTGTTTTGAAGCCTTGAGTTAGGCATTTCGACTGTCGCCATCTTGGATTTTTGCAACCAGACATGCACATTTTTGGACGAGAGGGTGGAGCTGTTGAGGAGCAAGGGTTGGATCTGACTGAGGGAGCCTGAGCTCTGCTTCTAATTTTCCCCCAGTGGCCACTCGCAGCATTACAGCAAAAAAATCCTCTGTGGCCCAAAAAGCATCTTTCCCATTCACCACCATTACAAAAAAGATGTTGTATAAACTGTTGAAAGGACACCTCGAAAAACTGACAGGACATCTTGAACTAAACCTGAATTAAATCCAAAAGGCAGAGGCTTTTTTTCATGTATGCCCCAGTATGGCAATTTAATGGAACTGAATAGACGCCATCTTGGCATCCAGTATCTAGTTATAATTATGCATCTATGGCGAGAAATGAATACATGGCGGGGCCCCATTTATTCCTATAAAAGTTGCTCAGTAGTGCATGAAGCGCATGAAATAACAGCAAATATACATGGGACATGGGCGCAGTGCGACACATCAGCCGCAGCATGCCTGCAGCACACTGCGACCCTTACAATGAGCTGAAGCTGCTTCACTAACCACAGAAGCCACACTTGCCCGCACGGGAACCACGCTGCTCAACTGTCTGCTCATGGCCCCTTGGCCCTCCCACAGGTAAAACCTACATATAACTGTAAAACAACGAGAACAATCTGTTTAAAAATGACAAACATTAATAACTCACTGGACCAAAGGAAATGCAAAGCAGCAGAGCAATGAGTGTGTTTTAACATTTCAAATCAGTGCATCCTGTAGTTAAAATGATCCAGGTAATTAATTCAGTACCAGTTAATGTAGTCTATATGCGTCCAAACCCTCCATAACCAACTGCATTGTCACTTTGCAAAGTCAACACACACAGTGAAGCTGGCAGCAAGCAAATGCTACAGAGATGGAGTCAGTGTAGCAGGTAGAAACCATCACTCCGCTCCGCCTACGTGACACACCGCGTCCTTGTCCCATGTATTTTGGCTGTAACCCAGATCTTCCACGTTGTTGGGCCCATAGAGCAAGCACACTGGAGGCTTTCACCGACTGAGCAGCTAACTTCCTGTTTATCGTCCTGCTCACTTCAGGACTTTAGAAATGTTATCAGACTGGGTGGTTCAATTCCCGATAGTTGAATGAGTCATTTTGCAGGACTTGTGATGCTCAAAAAATGTATCCATTGATTTACAGATGTCTCTTTCCCAGTGTATGTCTTTGGGTAAGTCTTTTTGGGCCCCATGGCATCATGTGACAGACCTGGACCTATTTGTTGTTACACAATTTGGCCTCCATGTCAAATTGGCCTCAGAGTAAATGGACTGCACTTTTATAGCGCTGTTCTAGTCCTACGACCAATCAAAGCACTTTTTACACTACATGTCACATTCACACACTGGTGGCTGTGGCTACCGTACATGGTGCCACATGGTAACCGTTCACACACCAATGGAACAGCCATCGGGAGCAATTTGGGTTCAGTGTCTTGCCCAAGGAAACTTTGGTATGCAGACTGGAGGAGCTGAAGGATCGAACCGCTGATCCACTGATTGGTGTAGGCTGACCAAACGTCCTCTTTTGCCCGGACATGTCCACTTTTCACGTCCTGTCCAGGGCGTCCGGGGGGTGTTTATAAATTGAGGATAATGTCCGGTTTTCCTTGTGTGTGTGTGTGTGTGTGTGT